CGGTCATCGCTCTGTCCCCTCTCGGCCCTCCTCCACCTGCTGGCATCGATAAATGCGAAGGCCTGGAACAACTCGACCTCATCGGGTGCTGCTCCCTCCTCGGCAGCACCTGTGCACGCCGCCACCGTTGAGCGGCGCTTGATGTTGAGGTGGGCCTGGAGCACAATGTCGAGGTCCCGGGCCAGGCCGAGCAGGCGATCCAGGACCAGAGCATCTAGGCCGTCTTTGTCCATCTTTGGGTATGCAGCCTGGGCCAGCGAGATGAGGGCGCTACGGAAAACAAGAGGAGTATCGGCCTCCTCTCGTCTCTGTGCAGCAAACCTATGGCGCATGTTAGATGGCGGGTCGAAAATCCCTGCCATCTGTGTGAGAGCTTGTGCCAACGTCACCCGATCTTCAGCTGGAATGGAGTAGAACACTCCCAAGGCGGCGTCATCCAAGACAGTCGGTAGAGCTCTTAGCGCTTCCCCCTCCGTCCATCCCACCAGGTCGCATGTAGCAGTGAAGCGGCGGCTGACGTCCACCCAGTCCCCCCCTACAGCGACAAATTCCTTCACAAATGGAAGGCGCCTCTTCAGAGCAGGCCCCTCCCCTTGCATTTTTGGCGGGATGCTCGCAATGGCGGGAACCCCGTCCCGCGCACCTCTCAAAATGGCGGCTGCTTGCACGGGTTGCGTTTCCCGGGACATAGCAGCGGTGGTGTCTTTGCCCCACGACTCCGGTCCTCTGACTCGTTCAATCGGCTCGTGCCGATTCCATCTCCACGACAAGTACTGCCGCAGCGGACAGTAGATCGCCCAAGCGCTGGCCACGCACCCGCCTGTCTCTCCCCGCTGCTGGCAGCATGGCGAGGTCGCATTCCTGGCGCTGCTCCGCAGGCCCAAACCCCTCGCGGTCCATCTCCGGGGCCGCCTCTCCCGGGGCTGTCTGGGGAATCACCCCCTCTTCATCTTCCTCCTCCGAAGAAGCCCTAGAAGGTTGTCTTGTTCTCGTGTACATTTTAAGCCTACGCTATCACCTAGCTATAAAGTATTTTCACTTCTGGCACCAGATGTAGTGTGTATCTCACAAGGAACACACAGAATTCTGGAAGCACCACGATTTATTCACAACCGAACAGGGCTATGGGTGAACAATACTCGGGGTTACTCTAGACCCCCAAAGGGGTCTCTATATAAACTGAGTCCCCGAGGGCCGACGCTCCAAGACCCCCGAAGCAACGCCGCACGGTTTGCTCCTTCCGCCAGACAACCCCGATCGCTCCGCTCCTGTCCCTCTTATCCTCCCGAGCGTGGCCTTGCTCTGCCTCTGGCCACACCCCTTCCTCGGTCTCTCAAGGCAGAACCGGAGCCAGCGTCACATGTCCTCCGGGCCCCTGTTTCCGGGACCCCTTCACTCCCCTGAGTTGGCACGTCCCCTTTCTGTCTCTCTCTGCGACGGGACCCTGCGCTGTAGGGCCTGCTTTTCCACCATGTCTCCATCAGCTCCCTCGAGAGGTATGTGCACTCTATTTTACCAATTGTAGCTATAGTCGGAATATGTGCCGTAGAGACACTATTTACGTCTCTATACATACATATGTAATGGGCGATTTCCCTGACACGTCATGGAGAGGGTACTCTCTTTTTTATTCACATTCGGGCACACCACAGGCCAACCTTATCCTCTTTCTTTTTCCGAATACACACATATATATTACCATCCCTACAGGCTACACGTGGTCGATCCCACAGCGTGGTTCCATCCACCGACTCCCGGCTTGGCCGCTGGTTGACGGCAGAGGTGGGACAAAGTCATTGTTATGCAAGTCCAAGTCGAGTCTGAAGTCATCAAATTCATGACTCGAGTCTGACTCGAGTCCAAGTCACATGACTCGAGTCCACACCTCAGAGGTGGGACAAAGTCATTGTTATGCAAGTCCAAGTCGAGTCTGAAGTCATCAAATTCATGACTCGAGTCTGACTCGAGTCCAAGTCACATGACTCGAGTCCACACCTCTGGTTGACGGCGTGCCGGCGAAGGTGGTGGGACTTCGCAGGAGATCTGCCACGTGGCCGAACGACGGAGAAAGATGACGGCGAGCAGCGTCGCAGTCCGGACCCAAGGCTCCCCACACCGACTACGAGTCCTCCTCCACCTCCGCATATATTGCCGTAGGCGCGGCTAGGCTCCACCTCCGACCACGCCCTCTCGTGGAACCTTCTATCCGGTTCCCGGAGCATCTCGGCCAGCCCCGCCCTTTAGCTTTGGCCCTGATACCTCTCCCTTTGGGATTGGATGATGTTTATAGTGGTGCCTGTACCCGTGCTTCCCTTTTCCAACCAGTATATGTCACTATGTCATTACACATATATACAACGTATATAAACATACTCTGACAATAGGGCCATTTACCAAAACAATTATCCATTATACTGTATAGTTTTAATTTTGAAGGTAGTGCGTATGACAGTGAACATAAACAGAAGATAGAATACAATGGTTTTATTGGGGACAGATGCAGCCTCAGGGCAGTGAAAGCCATTGGGGGACCAATGTAGGCAGTCACCTCAGTTTTTTAGTGTGGTCCTGTGCAATTGGGGGTCAAAGGGACCTGAGGCAACAAACAGAAAAGACACAGCAAAGCAGAGAGAGACTTGTAGAGAGATAGCGAGAGACCTGGAGAGAGATAGAGAGAGGCACAGAGACATGGAGAGAGGCAAATAGAGGCACGGAGAGAGACAATCACCTCTGGGGGCTCATGTAGAACAGTAGATGTTTTTTGTTATTGTAACGTTGTTACCCGCCCCTACTGGACATCTGTGAAAAATAGCTTTATAGCTCATCGGATTCCTCCGATAGAGAAATAAATATTCTGATTCTGAGGTCTTGTACACATTGCACACACGCTGAGACGACACCGACTGCAGACCCTTCCGCGCAGTCTCCTCGCATCCTACTGTTGCATTGCAAGACCATAGGGCTGTATTGCCTGAAGTCTATGCATCGGCAGTGGGTACTGTGCTGCACACTTTTTTTACTTTTAAGTTTCTGCAGTTTAAGGAGCGATATCCAGTCTTGAAAACATTTATGGAAACAACCTGCTAATTTTTAGGTATGTTATCCACCAAGAGTGGGGAGGGTTGACTCATCATGTCATCCTTCTGGGATAGGTAAAATCTATGGGAAGTCAACAGTGGTTGTTGGTCTATGGGTAGACGCACCCCTGCCTTAGGAATGTGTAATTTACCCCATGGGAGAAAAGCACCACCTCAACGCAAATTTGAGCAGGAAATCACTTTTTGTAAAACTAAAGAGGGTTTATGCTGTCTTGTATACCACCGCCTGTGCATTGCCTCAGGTTTCTTTGATATATACAATGTGTATCTGTGTGCTCAGGGGTGGAGTACCTCCTGATGTTCACTGCTGACTAGGCATCATGTGCCCCACTAATCTCTATCTGCTTTTTTCCTGGTGCTGCCCGACTTTGCAATTCCCTCCCATCGTCTTTTTTTCTAAGCTCTATCCTACTATAACCTTGCAAAGGCCCAAAAAACTTCACGTTTTGGAGCCTTTGCTTGGCGTCTGTGCAGTAAAAAAAATGTTTGCTGGAAATTACATCGATTCACTAAAGCGGCAGAGCCTATCCGAGGTCAAGCCCCGTGCTGGCAGAGCCATTGGTGCTCGGCCCAGATGCACGTGGCATGGCAGAGTGCCTGTCACCGCCTGTGGTAACACTGAGCCACCTGCGGTAGCTCTACAATCTGGCCGCAATTGCACCGGCCTCTGGACACCAAGCAGCAGCGCTGCCTGAAGTATTGGCCATAGAACCAGAGTGAACGTTAAAGTGCCCTTGTTAGTCTCTTCGAATGGAATAGGTACGTGCTTGTTGTGTGGTAATGGCTATGAATAAGACTGCACAGATCACAACAATAGGTAGAGCACCAGGTGGATGAAGTACACCAACGTGGCATAGCAGGGAGCACAGATGGTAACATTTACCAGTGAACAAAGTTAGTTAACCCATAGCATCTGGGTCTGTCCCATAGCCTCATGTCAACCAGCTTTCCACATTGCACGTGATAGGCTCAAAGTGCACCTAGCCTCGCACAAGCACTGGAATGATATCACCGTCACTTGGTGGTAAATGGCGGCTATTATCCTTGTAAATGCCGAGGGTCAGACGGTGTGGACGATGGGATCTTGTAAGGGTCGTGAACCCTAACCCTCTATTTCTGGGAATCGAGTTGCTAGTCTGTGTGTAATGCACACGCACTATGCAAACTTACATAATTAATATCTAATGAGTGGATTACGCAACCAACCTAGAAGGGAAATACATACACAGACAACTTGCACCGTTCCCCAATCTTTCCCACCATTAAAAAAAAAAAGTATTTACACATCCCATCAGCTGCACGGCCTTCTGGGAGTGATTTTTTTCAGCAGTATTTGTTCCACACAACCAAACTGTGTACCGGTTTTGCCATCATCTAGTATCTCATCAGTCGAGTCAAACTTGCTTGAAACAACGGTGGTGAACTGCCAGATTGCCACAGACAAGGACTCCCCTCTGTCTGTTAGATATGAGTGCTTGTTCAACGGAAAGCTTGAATAACACTGAATAGTCAGGAGCGTCATTGTGGAAGATAAGTTTCAAAATAAAATAAGCTGACAATATACTATATGAACATGTCTTTATCGCTATAATTAAGGAGCAGTCGACTGAATGGTCGATTTCAAAACGTCATTGAAAGGGAAGGGGCGTGTGGTCCTCCTCTGTGCGGCACGAAGTGCGTGTGCGAGGTTGCACAGCTGGTGGTGAACATGCCTGTCATCTCAAGTTGGTCAACCCATGACATCTGGGTCTGTCCTGTGACCTCCTGCCAGCAGCGAGCCTTCGACACTTCACAGCGGACCCGGCCTGGTGCAGGCGCCGTGGTGATGTCACCATCACTCAGCGGCGAATGGCAGCTGTTGGTGTAGGTATTGGCGACACGCTCGAGGCTGCCCCGACCTACCTTGCCCTTGAAGCGCCACTCGTAGGCGATGATGCGAGCCGGGTTCGCGCGCAGCACGCGGCACTCCATGCTCACGCTCTGGCCCAAGCCCTGGCGCAGCATGGCGGTGGGCGGCTCCACCACGGGGGGGTCTGTGTGCACACAGGCGCGTCGCCCCGCTTAGCACCGCACGTCTGTTATCTTTGTTGTCGTTGTTGTGATTACTACTGTGCTTGCTTACCCAGCAGAAGCCTCGCTGACTCTCAAGGCTTTCTCAGGAGGGTCCTGCAATGGGATGTTTTGCCAATTCTTTTGTAATGTGTATTTTGCTTGATGCAGGAAACTGAAGAGTATCCGCAGAAGACATGTGCAAATTAGAGAATAGGACTCAAAGGTCTGCACAGATGGGTACACAAACCCACTTGCTGTACAGTCTTTTCTCCTATAAGGTGGTAGTTGCATTCTTAAAGAACACTGCGTGAGAGAAACATCGCGTTATAGTAAACAATATATCAAAAAAATATGAAGCACAGTCCGCAATAACACGTGAGATGCGTACGCTGACTGAACAAAGAATGAGGCACGTGGATAACATCTAGAAGCATCCAGCAGCATCCCGCCTTGTGTGATGCTATGCTGAGGCAGCCGTACAATTGCTTATTCCTACTCGCGCGACGTAGTTCCATTCACTTAATCGCGTTATATCCAATTAGCGTTATGAAAACACGCGTTACAGGCGAACAGACTGGCCACCTCCCAGTCCAGTGGGTTTGGGAGTTTCAAAAATCTGTGATCTACCAAAGCCTAGATTACAGGTGTGCACTGCCTGAAATGTACTTTGATTGCGAAAAATATATTAATTATCCTGATATTAACTTAGAATCTCTTTACAATCTTTGGAAAATTTGTATTCAAAGTACCAGCAGCCAATTGACTGAACAGGTGACGCTTGCGATATGTTTCTCAACGAAGACATTGGCAGGGTGCCATTTTTAAAATCTGGAAAATTTCACCATTAACGCCGGCACAAGATGGCCGGCTCCCCCTTCGAGTGATGTCAATGACGGATCTTCAACATGCATCGCACACGAAGTGGACGGTTGCGTCTCACATTTTATGGTTGATGCACACCGCGATAGTTCTAACACGTAAAACCTTGAACGGCAAAATGTGCTGCCACGCCGGCCGCACCACCGCCCCATCACCGCCTCCTCCTCGCTCGTTGGCGTGAGCGCTGAGTGCAGTACATTGAACAACGCTCACACTGCACGATGAGCTGGACGGTAGCTTCCCGTGGGCTCACGTTGAAGCCGTTGAATCTGCCCGTCTGGCAGCGATAGGAGCCTGCCATGTCTCGCGTCACGTTGGCGAGGTATAGACATCCGTCATGGCTCTCCGTGTATGGGGCCCCGTCTGGCATGAGGGCGTCTCGATCCACACGCGACCAGAGCACCACGGGCTTGGGCTTCCCGGAGACGATGCATTGCAGATCAGCCGTAGAACCCTCCCGCACCACCACGGGGGAGCGGCCACGAGGAACACTGATCGTGGGTGGCACTGCAGGGACACTCACGCAGAGCCACGCCACTGGGTTACTCAGCTCACACTGCACTGCAGAGAGACCCACACAACCGGTTTCCTCGGCTCACAAAGCTGGTTAAACAAAGGTCTCACAAGTGTACAGTGGTACCTCGGTATACGTCGTTAATTCGTTCCAGAAGGTAGGACTTATACCGAAAATGACGTATACCAAACGAATTTTTCCCATAAGAAATAAAGGAAAAGGAAATAATCCGTTCCAGAGGAAAAGAAATGATATTTTAGATGGCATATTATACATTAATAGGGTTGTATAAAATAATTTAGACTCTAATTACTAACATGCATACAGAAGCCGTGTGACCGCGCTGCTGCCAGCTGCGCTGGTCACGTGGCGTGCCTCAACCCCGTAAGTAGCACGCGCCTCGACCCGGGGCTCCACCCTCCATAGGGGCAGCCCCCCACGTCCCCCGCCCCTCTCCCCCACGCCCCCCGCCCCTCTCCCCCACGCCCCCCGCACCTCTCCCCCACGCCCCCCGCCCCTCTCCCCCACGCCCCCCGCCCCTCTCCCCCACGCCCCCCGCCCCTCTCCCCCACGCCCCCCGCCCCTCTCCCCCACGTCCCCCGCCCCTCTCCCCCACGTCCCCCGCCCCTCTCCCCCACGCCCCCCGCCCCTCTCCCCCACGCCCCCCGCCCCTCTCCCCCACGCCCCCCGCCCCTCTCCCCCACGCCCCCCGCCCCTCTCCCCCACGCCCCCCGCCCCTCTCCCCCACGCCCCCCGCCCCTCTCCCCCCGCCCCTCTCCCCCACGCCCCCCGCCCCTCTCCCCCACGCCCCCCGCCCCTCTCCCCCACGCCCCCTGCCCCCCGCCCCTCTCCCCCACGCCCCCGCCCCTCTCCCCCACGCCCCCCGCCCCTCTCCCCCACGCCCCCCGCCCCTCTCCCCCACGCCCCCCCGCCCCTCTCCCCCACGCCCCCCGCCCCTCTCCCCCACGCCCCCCGCCCCTCTCCCCCACGTCCCCCGCCCCTCTCCCCCACGCCCCCCGCCCCTCTCCCCCACGTCCCCCGCCCTTCTCCCCCACGCCCCCCGCCCCTCTCCCCCACGCCCCCCGCCCCTCTCCCCCACGTCCCCAGCCCTTCTCCCCCACGCCCCCCGCCCCTCTCCCCCACGCCCCCCGCCCCTCTCCCCCACGCCCCCCGCCCCTCTCCCCCACGCCCCCCGCCCCTCTCCCCCACGCCCCCCGCCCCTCTCCCCCCGCCCCTCTCCCCCACGTCCCCCGCCCTTCTCCCCCACGCCCCCCGCCCCTCTCCCCCACGCCCCCCGCCCCTCTCCCCCACGTCCCCTGCCCTTCTCCCCCACGCTACCCCACCCCTCTCGCTTTGTCTCAGTCGTGAACGGGGCATACGCGGGTACTGTACGCGGTGACTCATCCTGACCCATACAAGTTCTAGCAAGCGCATCGTATCCCAAGACATTTTTTTCTCGAAAAAACACGACGTATACCAAATTCGACTTATTCCAAAGCGGTCGTATACCGAGGTTCCACTGAAGAGTAGTATGGGGACGTTGCGTCATGCGCGCCCTTCCGGTGCGATGACATCACTGGACTTGACGTCATGCGTTTTCCGGTGCGATGGCGTCGTGGGAAGTGACGTCATGCACGCTGGGCGGGGGTGATGACGTCATATCTCCTCTAGGTACTTAACGGGGACCCCGTGACGAATGCGGGGTCACTGTGGGAGCACGGGATGGTGAACGGTTGAAGAAGGAACCAGAGGTAGAGTTGCGAGAGAGAGAGAGTCTGGAGAGAAGCCGGCGGTAGCGATAGAGTGGCTGCTCTCCCCGATCGGTTAGTGTTGGCTGATCCCCCGGTCCGACTCGGTGGACAGAGCCCTGGAGCTACCCGGATTGGGAACATACGGAGTGTAGGGTCGCGTGGAATGACCCAGTACAGTACCCCTACCCCCTCGGGGAGTGTCTACACCCTGAAGACTGCCTCCGCGTTGTCCTTTACGCCTCAACACAAGTATACGCTACAAATCATGGGCAAGTATTTATTCAGCGATATATGGGCAAGCTGTGGTGAATTAACCAGACATGATGGCACGTTGCTCGCTATAGGAAGGCTATACTCTTTGGTTCTTTCAGCAAAGTCACGTAGGTAGAACAATAATAAATCACGACATTTCGATCGCAACACAAGCAATCGTCATCAGGTAGAAAGATACAGCAGTAGAACTGCTGAACAAGAAAGGGATGTTGCAACAAGAGGTTATATATACGTTTGAGAACCAAAGAGTATGGATTCTTGCAGTCACGAAAACTTCACATCAAAATTGGAAGGTTGAGAGTCAAATCCTGTTTAGTGGTTAACTCCACCCATTATTCCTCTGGGGACAGTAAAAAGAGTTCTATTGTGTTGGGAAGGCAACACTGGTTGACCTATGGAGACGCTTGCCTCTGCCATAGCAATTTGGAATTTCCACGATGGGCTCAGGGCTGTGAACAGAGATGAGCCCAGCCTCAGCGCTCATTGAAGCAAGACATCATCGAATAATCGCATGAAAATGTGGACAAGTTCAAAGCAATTATAATTAATGACACACAAAGGTGTTCTCTTACAAACAGCAGGCAAGCACAACCCGTCAATATGCCTTGCACAGTGGTTAACTAAATTTTACTGAAATCTTAATGTAACAGACCTTGTATGTGTGTATGTATGTTGAACTTCTTTCGAAGCGTACGTAGCCAATCGCGCTAATTGGAGGTGCGGGGGAAGGACAAACTAAACACAAGGAACAGTTTCAAAGAAATTAGTTTCCAATCTAGATTTAAAAGTGCATAGCTGCAGTGGCTTCCTGATCGGAATCTGCAACCGTGACCTTGGAAGCGTTTATGTTTGCCAGCACCAGGCCGGCTTCCTTCACATTCTCACCCGTGCTGCTGGAAATGTTGACGTCCATGCTAATGTCGCTGAGGGTGCGCGCGCGCGACAGCCGCGCTGTGCACGTGTACGTCCCGAAGTCCGTGAACCTGAGGTCGATGATGTCGAGGCTCGAGGTGCCCGGCGCGAAGTCCGAGTCACTTTTGGAGATCAGGAGGCGGTCGGAGGAGCGCAGCATGCGCCCGTTGCGGTACCACGCGAAGGAGAGCTCCTCGATAGGGACGGCCTCCACCTGGCACGAGATCTTCACCTCTCGTCCAATCTGGATGTTGTCGTCCTCATGGTATGGGTCAGGTGTGATCCAGAAGCGACCCCGACGGAGCGCTGAGGGAAAAACGCAAAAAAAACTGTTTGACGTGAGATCGAATTTGAGGGAACAAATTTTTTTGTGTTAGCCAGGCGAGAGCTCAAGAGGCCAGCGCGGTGTGGTTTGTGCGAGAGTGCGCCGGCTCGCCAAAATGACAAAAGCAATAACCATTGGTTGTAATTAGTGGCGAAACGTCACGATACTCAATTGTAGATGCTGTGGGTTTACTCTTCAACACACCGCTGTGCTGAACTCGTAACTAATTGGCACGTTTTGTTCATGTGACGACCCTTACTAAATGGCTGTGGTTTTAAGCACATTCATATTTACGCAATCTAACCAAAAAAACGTGTATTATGGATAATATTAGTCGCAAAGGCCTACGTTTTAAAAATCAATAACATAAAAATAAGTACAAAAATATGAGATATACACGTACATGTGTCAGAGTATAGACAACCAACTTAGGAATCAGAGGAGAGACAACCAATTAGAAATAAGAGCAAAAATAAATCTCAGATAAAAAGCAACCACATCGAGAAATCATGGGAAAAATAACGACATTAGAAAGGACATTTAAACATTAAGTTAAATACATTTCCTGTAACGAAAATTGTATTGGACAATTACTTTTAAGAACCGTACAATTCTCATATACGGCATGAAGGGATTGTGGCATGTTGTCAAGGGCAATTGGCAAATAAATGCCCTCAATACTGCGTGTTCAAGTTTGTTTACCCAGGCGAGAACTCAGTAGACAAGGATAAAGTCTCATTTGCATGTGACCTGGGTCACCCACCTATGTCGTTGATGCAATTCATAACTGGTGTTTGTGCGTGTATTGATAGTGGGGCATGTAGGTGACCCAGATGCGAGTGTGTGTGTCTGCGTGTGTAGGTGGTGGGAGCGATAGTGTAGCGGTTAGCGCGCTGCGCTATGAACCCGGCAACCCTAGGTTCGATTCCCGCTCACGGCCAACACCAGTGACGATTATCTGAACCGGTTCTGGGCCTCCCCAAGGTCGAATCAGCCTCAAATGAGTACCTGGTGCAGTGTGCAAACATCGTCAATGGGGAGACAAAGGCGGTCGGGCGTGTTGTTGGCCACCCACCCCGCATGTACTGTGCCGACCTTCATAGGTGCTCACAAACAGCATTTGCCCCAACAGTCTATTAAGGGTATACGGGGGATTTTTGTCTTTGGGTGGTGCTGCATGTATCTGGTGTATGTGTGCGTATGTAGGCGGGGCTGCACATATCCTATGGGGTTGTGTGTGCGTGTGTAGGGTAAGGTGTGTGCGTGTGTAGGGTAAGGTGTGTGCGCGTGAAGGGTAAGATGTGTGTAACGTAAGGTGTGTATGTATGTAGGGTAAGGTGTGCGCGTGTTAAGATGGTGCAGCATACATCTCACTGTGACGTTGATGGCTCTGCGCACGGCTCCCCCGACACCGTTACTAACGAGGCAAGTGTAGGTGCCCGAGTCGCTCTCGTGGACTGACTGGATGGTCAAGTTGTCTTTGCCAATGAGGCACGTGGGAGGGAGACCCCCTGGGCTTCTTGACCACGTGACTGAGGGGATGGGGTCGCCCTTTATGACGGCGCACCGTAGACGCACGCGTTCCCCTGGCTCCACCACGAGCTGCTCCGATGCGGGGTGCTCCAGGACGGGAGGAGCTATGGTCGGGTGGAGAGGGGGGGTGTCGGGGAGGATTGGCAGTGATAAAAGGTTGAGTCAAGAGAAATGTCAGTGAATCGTATGCAAATTTAAAAGGCAATACGGAGTCCTCGTGAGATCACAATGCTGTGGGCATGGCAGGGATTGCGTCATCACTCCCACTGCACAGGCCAATCATCTGCGAGGAAGACAATCCCATACAGCATGGCCTCCATAACGTTTTCCAAGCAACATGGCTGGCGTGACATCATCGCCGATTATGCTTCCGCTGGTCTAGGACATAATTATATTATTGTCTGTTGTTAATATTACTATTCAAAGTCATATTATGCCCATGCATTATGCAGGATTAGCAGCATCAAAGGGAGGGGGTAGGGGGTAACATTAACAAAGGAAGGGAATGTTAATAGTATGTAGAAGCAATGAAACATGTCAATGGGAGAGCGGTGGTAGGAGACCTGCAGTGGAGCAAATAATGCATTCCCTGTGAATGCATTATTTGCCCCCCCCCCCGCCCACCTCCTACGCATTTCCCATGAATATGCTAAATTCCTCTTGATATGCAAATTATTTTGTCAAGGCGCTCTTCTTCCACCTCCAACCCAGCTTATATATAAGCTCCAAGCTTGGCAGTGTCTCATTCTTCACCTGAAGCCGGCTGCTTGCGTTTTAGCCCGAAACGTCGTGAGAATTATTTTATTATGTTTTATTTTTATTATTTTATTACTTCCCTTCTACGTGACTTTACCGAAAGAACCAAGAAGATGAATCCCTGCAGTCACGAAAGCTCTAAATCGAAAATCGATCATTCGAGCACAACGTTTTGCCAGTAATTGCTGGTTATTGACACAATTCTGGTTATCGCCTGATTTATGCTGGTTGTAATCACCGGTTAAAAATAGTACTCGAATTGTAGATGTTGTGGGTTTACTCTCCAAAAGACTGGTGTACTGAACTCGTAACGAATTGGAATGCTTTGTTTACGTGACAAACCTTAACAATTGGTTGTGTCGGGTGGTGGCGGGTTTAACGACACATTCATATTTATGCAATATAACCCTGGCAAGTGTGTGACTCCGACCACTCATGACGTCACAGAAGACACAAAGGAAACTTTGACAATCGCATGGCCAAAATTTCTTCCCTCGTCTGTGTGTAGTTTTGCTCTCCAATCATCCTCAATAATGATTTTAAGTGACCGGAGTCACCGTGGAGGTTAATCACAGACCCAATTCGCCGGCATCCATGTGGCTGCTCGTTGTCACTCATGAGTGTAGCATTTGTTGCACGCCCTTTGGGGCGTGTGTGTGACGGCCGTCGCGCCAAGCAGCCTCCACCGTGTGACCGTGCTCGCAGTCCCCCATCACTGCCGCATGATCCCATGCTGATGAGTGTGACGTCAACTATTGGTGCAGCCATTGACCATTGTCGTATGTGCGTCTCACAATGTCGCTCATACGGTAGGCAAAGTCACAGTGATTACCTTCTCCAATGAGCACTGCAGTTTACAGCCCTGAGCCTGTGGTAGAAATTCCACATTGCTATTACAGAGGCGAAGTATATCTCTTTTTACTAACTCCGGAAGGATGATCGTTTGAGTCAACCCCCAACCAGAAGTTGAACTCGCAACCTTCCAATTGCGAGTCACTCGCTCTACCGTGGAGCTACTTGGCCAGTAGTCATACAGATTATGAACAAAATAATTTGGGCATGTTATAAAATAGCCGCAGATGTAATCATTTTGTGTGAGCCTGAGATCATCAAACGCCTGTGTCTGTGGGCTGTCTCTGCAATGGTAGAATGTTGCACAGAATAAAAACTCCTGTTCAGACCTCGAAGTACCAGCTGCTATTCTTGACAGTGTCCGAGCAGCTTTGAACCTCAGCACTGATTGAAGATGGCATGGTTTTACATAATTTTGTACAACATGGTACCCAGCAACATCTGAATTCTAGAGTATCTCAAGGTACTTTATTTGCTAAGTTTTCACAGGAGGAATAATTTTTGGAAAATTTGGACCGTGATGCTGGCACACAATGGCCGACTCTTCTTCGAATTACATCACAGAATGACATCACAGGATCTGTCACGTTGCACTGTGACGCAGATTTTATGGTTAACACACCTCCGGTATTACTTCGGGTGACCTGTCAGATTCAAACCTAAAACCTCGACAAAACAAGTGGCGAACGTGCTATGGCTGTGTTTATGTGATCACCCCAGACTGGCATTGACATCAAAGTAGAACCACTCACGGTCATGACATCGTCAGATTGGCATATTGTTCTGCTGTATATAATAATAATGCATTTAATATAGATCAGTGGGAACTGGTAGCTTTCCAATGATCCATTATTGTGTTATTAGATGTGTGAGCACAGCCCTATCTCTGCTCCTCTCGATAAACTCCCCCCACGCACATTTTAACATTTACTCTCAAAGCAACATCTTCAAACGAGAATGGCGATGGGACATCCCCATTGAACCTCGCCAACTGCTCACCGGTAGTGCGCGTGAGCGGGAAAAAAGCTGCACGAGCCGGAATGTTGCACACGCTGCCCACAGACACGACACACGTGTAGTTGGCGTAGTCCTGCGCACGCAGATTCTTCAGCTTGAGGATGTTCGTGTCTGCCTGTTGGGGAGACGCCGTTCTGGTCACTACTAACCTTGCGTTACCGTTCCCGTGAACTTCACCCATTGGATTTCTCCCCCACCCCTGCAGAAGACTCTTAATGCCAGACTGACTATTTTTCGTCTCATCCACATTATGTTCAACCACCACCCTGCAGGTCACAATAACACACCCACCCACTCACCCAATAACTCACCTACCCACTCACCTACCCACTCACTCACCACCCTGCAGGTCACGACAACATACCTACTCACTCAATCACTCACCTACCCACTCGCCACCATACACAGGCCACAACAACACACCCACTCACCCAATCACTCACCTACCCACTCACCACAAGGCAGATCGCGACAACACACCCACCCACTCACTTACCCACTCACTCACCACACTGAAGGTCACAACAACACACCCAATCACTCAATCATTTACCTAGCCACTCACTTACCACCCTGGAGGTCACAACAATATCCCCACCCAATCACTCACCTACCCACTCACACACCGCACTGCAGGCCACCTCACTTGTCTTTCTGCGTATTTCCTCACATTGCTTCACTCTGGAATTCCATCCGATCGTCTCTTTCCAAGCTCTTATGATCTCGCCCAATTTGAGAAGCGTGTTAACTTTAATCTTCTGCAAGTTCTGACAGTACTTGGTGTGTTGTCCGCTTGACATGTCCGGCCTTTGCCCAGCAACTGTGTTTAACATATATTTCTTACACTACCACGGTGGCAGCAAGCGGCGGTGGCGAATGACGCATGCGCGCATCTGCGAGTGCGTGGTGGTCCCTACGTGCGTGAACAGCGGCTCGTAGATGTCCACGCCGCTGTCGGCGCCCTGCTGCAGAGGCTGCGCCCCGCGATACCAGGTGTGCCGCGCCGCCGGGCTGGAGCGCGCCTCGCAGCGCAGGAACACGGTGCGTTCCGCATAGAAGTACTGGCGCGTGGCGGCCGCGTACTGGTGCACCGTGAGCCGGGGCTCCTCCAAGTCTGTGGGGAAAAACGCGGGGGAGCGGAGGTCGAGAAGTCAGAAGGGGGGATTTGCTGCTCAAATGCTCGTCTCCCGTTTACAGTGCTTGCAGAGCGAGTGGTGGAAAATATACATTCCTATGTCGGGGGTCATGTGTAATAGAGGTTTTTGGGTTAGATCGCGTAAATATATAAATGTGTCGTTAAAACCCGCCATCATCTGACACAGCCAACTAGTAAGGGTTCGCACGTAAACAGAACATGCCAATTCGTCACTAGTACAGCACACCGGGTGTTGGAGAGCCAAGCCACAGTAACTCGTTGAATATCCCAACAGTAGCGAGAGAAACGTCCCAAATCGACGTGCGCAGCTGCCTTGATTTTATTTCAGTAAATTTCTTGTCAAAGAATGTGTCCTACTGTGCACTAATGTCGGAAGTTCATCGCTGCGCATTGCATATTATATATCGACTATTTTTATTCAAGCAGCCATTATCTATATCTATTGAGTATGTGTGTGTGTATATAATAGGTCGGGCGTAGTGCTGACCACCCACCCCCTCGTATACTGTGCTGGCTTTGCGTGTATGTTGAACCTCTTTCGCTCCGTACGTAGCCAACCTGCTTCATAGGTGCTCGCACACAGCAATTGCTCCAAACGTCTGTTTCGGTCATACAGGGGATTTTTTATCTTTTTTCGTAAAGAGTGATGGCAGAGTGATGGCAGAGTGGTTAGCTCACCACGCGATGACCCCTAGAAACCTGGGTTCGATTATTGCCATGCACAACTTGCGTTGAAAGTCGATGCCTGACTCTGGGCTTCAGTTAGACCAACCCCGTCAGTTGTTGAGCACCGAGTGCAGTGTGGAGCATCAGCACTCGAGAGAAGAACGCGGCCGTTGCAAACTTCTGGCCAAATCCCCCCTTCGATTGGCACGGCAGCCTTAATAGGTGCTCGCTGGGAAAGCCCCTTACATGTTGAACAGAACTCATTCCAGCAGACGGCGGCGCAGCCGCGTCCACAGTTGAGCAATCGGTTACGCGAGCACATCGTCCTCGACAATTGCGTAACTTAATTGCACGTAACTGATTTTGTTCCACGTCGGAGCGATTTGCAATGTGGAGGTTGCCGGTTCAATCTCCCAACACGGAAGTTGAAACAACGGTGCAACTTTATTAACTTTCTCAACTGTGCAACTTTCTTAACACCCCCCCCCCACCCTGGCTTTAAAAAAAATGTAAGTGTGACATTTGATTTAATTGATTTTCTTTCTACGTGACTTTACCAAAAGAACCAAAAAGTAATTCCTGCAGTCACGAAAGCTCCAAATCAAGTTTAAACCACCTTTACGGGGAGGATTTAAGTTAGTTTTCTCTCTCTCCGTGTCTCTGCGTTGTCTCTCTCTGCTTGTGTTTGTCTTTGTGTCTCCGTGTCTGTGTCTTGTCTCTCTCTCAAATGTCACACTTAATTTCTCATTGAGCAATCTTTGGAAGAACATAATCAACCAGGCTATGCGTTAATTGTGTGTTGACCGACTCTCTGTGTTGCATTGCATTACTTTCACAAAAAAAGTTTGTTTTATTAAGTTTATTTTCTCTCTCTGTGTCTCTGTGTTGTCTCTCTAGTATTTCCTGCAGTCACGAAAGCTCCAAATCTCTCATTGACATGCTAATTTCTCTACCCCCCCCCCTTCTCTCTCTGCCCCCTCTCTATTTAAGGCCTCGACACTGATGCGTTGTGTCTCTGTGTTGTCTCTCTCTGCTTACGTGTCTGTGTCTCCGTGTCTGTGTTTTGTCTCTCTCTCAAATGTAGCACTCTTTGAAAGAACGTAATCAACCAGGTAGGGTGTTGACTATTATGTTAGCCGATTCTCTGTATTGTATTGCTTTATATTTCTAAGTTTACTAGGTTTGTTTTTTCTCATTCATTTGTACCTGATGATGATTGCTTGTGTTGCAATCGAAACGTCGTATTCTATTATTTAATTTGGTTTCTTTATACATGACTTTACCGAACAAACCAAAAAGTATTTCCTGCAGTCACGAAAGCTCCAAATCAAGTTTACTAAATTTGTCGTCAAACTTCCTATTTCTCTCTCTAAATTTCTCCTTGCTTGTCTGTTCCACACTTAATTTCTAATTTAGCCAGCTTTGAAAAAACGTTAATCAACCAGGCTATGCGTTAACTGTGTGTTAACCGACCCTATGTTGCATTGCATTACACTTCTTAATTTAACTAAATTTATCTTCTCAAACTTTCGATTTTCTTGCTCTAAACCATTGTCTCTCCTCCGGCCACTGTGGTCCGGAATTCCACACTGCTCCCTTCGTTCGTCTGCTGGTTCCTTCGTTGGTCTGCCTCCGCAGTCCTCTTTCTGCCCTGGCCCCCCTCTCGCTATTTAAGGCCTCGGCACAGAGTCGTTGTCCTTCTGTTTGTCTTGGTGTGTGTCTTGCTCAGTGTATCTTTGTGTGTGTCTCTCTCTGCATGTGTGTCTGCCTATGTTGTTTCCGTGTCTGTGTTTTTCATCATTCATTCTTACCTGATGATGGTTGCTTGTGTTGCAATCGAAACGTTGCATTCTATTATTATTATTATTTTATTTTCTACGTGACTTTACCGAAAGAACCAAAGTGTGGTTGTAAAATAGTTGTACAGCTGTTGCTGATATTTCTACACGTGGTGTCAATGTTGATGTATACATTCATATTTTTATTGTTGATCAGTCATTGTTGTTGCTGTTCATATAGTATTAGTGTTGCTATGAACAATAATTGTATTGTTTTTCATGTTGATGTTTCATTCGTGTTGGTGTTGTTATTGTTATGCCAAATCGTTATTGGTGTTGATATATCACGTTACAGTTGATAGAAAGTAGGCCTGCGCGTATCATTTGGGAAATGAAGAGCAATAAATCCACGTTCCTTTGCAACTCAGTTAAGTCACATCCTGCGCAAATGCGTGGGCAGTGCGAGTCTTCGAGATCCGTCTTGGATTCTCCCCTGGCCACCTCTATCCTGTCATCTGACTCAGACTTCTTCACTCCATGCTTGCTGCTAAAACCTACAGGCACCCTTCCTCCCCCAGTAACCTGTACTTTCAACTCCCTTTCTAAGTCCAGTCTCCAGACATTCATTTTTACTCTGCTTACGTCTGCCTCTTTCTTTCCTTGATATAAATGCTCAGCTGTTCTGTGCAGTGTCGGGAAAGGTGGTTCCATTTAGATGCCGCTATACATATCCAATTTGTATTTTTTACATGTGCAGTGACATATAATGTGTCACTACGGCACCTAGCGCCAGTTCCTGATAAAGAGAGGAACTGGGCGTGTAGTGGCCCTCTCTGCCAGCAGGGTATGCTATGTCATGGAAAGGGTCCCTAGGGGAGCATGGTTCTGGTGGCTAGCAAAGAGGGGGCATTTGAGGACGTAGCAGCCTGGTTGGCTGGCAAGGGCACATAGCAGGACAGGGTAAGGATGTGGGCCAAAGGTGACAGAAGGTGCATGTGGTGTAGGGCCTAGAACCTTCTGGTGAGTTCCAGAAGAGGGCGTGGCCGAGGGTGGAGCCAGGCCACGCTGAGGGGCATGAAAGGGAGGTCCCGGGGCCACATCGGGGCTGTCTGCTAGAATAGAACCCGCCGTGCTACGTCTTCTCCTGGGTCTCTGGTCTTCGTGCTCGGCATCGTGGGTCAGGCAGTGTGCCGACGTACATGATCCGTTTATATAGTTACCCCGTGGTGGTTACCGGTTATGTAGTTATCCCGTTGTGGTTACTGGTTATATAATTACCCCGTTGTGGTTGTAGAATAAACGTGTTGCCTCCTGAATTAGTGTGTCTCTCAAGTGAACCCACTACACATGTAAGTTGAATTTTCGCACCATAAGTAGCCCACCGTGCTAATCAGAGGTGCAAAGAAAAATTAGATTTAGAAAAATGGTTTGGTCAAAGGTCATATGATGAAGAGATGGATATACCACGGAGACGTAGGAGAGAGGCCATACTGTTGCACTTTTGTTTAAATAATTAGCACTCAAATTTGTCTGAATCAGGACATATATTATCGGATTTCATGTTTGTTCAACCAGGTAAGAGCTCAAGAAACCAGGATGAGAGTCTCATTTGAAAGAGTGGCCTGGGTCACAAATATGATGAAAACCATACACTAATAACAAGTGCAGCAATGAAGCAAAAACCAAAGAGAAATCAGAGCAAAAATAAGCAAATATAAATCAGAGCAAAAAAACTGAAATCAGAGCAAAAATAACCAAATAGAAATCAGAGCAAAAATAACCAAATTGAAATCAGAGCAAAAATAACCGAATAGATATCAAAGTAAAAATAACCAAATAGAAATCACAGCAAAATAACCAAATAGAAATCAGCAAAATAACCAGATAGAGATTATAGGAAAAATTATCAAATAGAGATCAGAGAAAAATAACCAAATCGAGATCAGAGAAAAATAACGAATTCGAGATCAGAGCAAAAATAACCAGGTTACAAATGAAATCGAAAAGAGCTGCGCAAGCCCATCTTGTGTAAAAACCCAGCGCGCGAGTGAATGAATGCTGACGGTGGTGACGAGCCCCGTGGGTGGAGGCGTCTCCACTCTGGGCACTCACAGTAGACCTCGACACGGACGGAGCGCAGCGCCGGCACGCCCACCCCATTATCCGCCTTGCAGTAGTAGCGGCCTCCCTGCATGCGCCCGATGTCGTTGATCCGCATCGTCTCGTTGTAGACCGTCATCTCCTGGGACCTCTCCAAAAAGGTGCCCGCTGTCTTGGTCCACCTCACCTATATGGAGCGAAGAAGGAGAGAAAGATGGCTGGTTGGAGACGCTCTCTCGCCGTGCACGCCAATCGTTGGGATCGTGCGCTTGTGGCAGTGACGGCAGCCAGCACGCACCGTTGAGTACGTGCCAACACACAGAGGGCACGGATACTGTATTTCCCTGTGCACGTGAGTACCGTTTACGAATGCGGTAAAAAACTCGCTTGGTGCTCAAGATGCGATCTTAGAAAAGTGAGCGCTAATGGAATCAGCGCTAAACGAGGGTCATTACACCGCTGTGTATGTGGGAATGCGTTCCCAACACCATCATTTTTTTATGAGCAATATATGATGTCGTCATTGGGGTATCAGTAATTGTGCTAATAATACATATGTAGAACATTATTTAATTAATAAAAAAATCTACTAATATTAGTAAGTATGTACTGTACTCACGAGCGCATTCTACTGTACTCCTACAAGGCAGAGCTGGGAGCTGCTGTGCTCCCAGGATGGTACTTAGTGATGCGCTCAGTCACAATGTCTGTGGTGAAGTTTCTTTTAGGTGGAGCCTGAGACTATCTCCTCTGGTCTTGTGAGTTCTCACCTGACTTAACCTACTGTTATAACGTTGAGAGAAGAAGAAAAAACTATAAATATAAATTTATAATATAACGGTGACTATGAATACAGTCTCCTCTCCTTACAAATGTAATGAGAGAGTGCCATTTAATGGGCGGAAAGGGGTAACCGCATGGCCACCACCGGTTAGCGGGTATCCAATCCCAAGCAAGGATATATCTGGGCCAAAGGTAATGGGCGGAGTCAAAGGGGAACGTGCGGGAACCATCGGGAAGGTTCCATGAGGGGGCGTGGCTAGACCCTTGCCCTGCTGATTCCGACTGATTCGGGAAATAGTGACTCGCAGACACGCTGGGAATAAATCGTTAGTAATCGATAACAGCCTCGTGTGGTTTCTACGAGTGTGAATAAAGTGCATGGTGGTGTGTGTGCGCTCGCCGTAACGTGTGTGGCTGGGTGCGCAGCGTCCCGGTGGAAGAAACGCTGCGCCCACAGGACTCCGCGAGTGCGCGTTTCGTCCTGTGGCCCGACTCCCGCGCTGCGTGTGTGGGCATGGGTGTGAACGACGGGTTAACGCGCGGATCTTACCCTCTATTCGGTTATCGTTACGCTTGCGCTGCGCTAACTGTTTAGCGTGTGCCCACAATGAGCAACGGTAGACTCGCAAGGGTACATTCATACGGCTTTTGTTTTCATACGGCTTTTGTTTAGCGGGTGCCCATGGGGAGCAATGGTAGACTCGCACGGGTACACGTGGGATTATTCATACGGCTATTGTTTAGATTGTGCACGAGCATAGTGCGTGAATCCTGTCACCAGTTGCTCATCACTGCACAGAGGGGCCAGAGAACGATTAAAGCCTTTTCTTTAATTCCCCAATACACAGCAACACTTGTTCTAAAACCATTCCCGAATACCCGCCCCACAGCCCTTTAAATCATCTCCAATACAACCCCCCAACCGGCTACGCCGGTACGAGTGACATCATTGCCCTTTGACCCCTGACCCCCCATCACGCGCGTGTGATTGGTGCGCGGGGTTATGAGAGCGGAGACGTCACGTTTGAGTGGCTGTGCGTATCCGAGTGTGGGCAGTGGTGTGCAGGGAGTCTCCTACTAATGTTTGAGGGAATGCACGGGGAGAGTGGGTGTGAGTGACCCGAGGTGGCCAAGGGCCAGCCAAGAGTTATGTTTCACAGAGGGGAAGTGGCAGCAGGGGGGAGAGAAGAAGAGGAGGAAGGGGGAGAGGAATCGGGGGGCAGCAGCCTCAACATCTATAATGTAGACTTATTTTTGGTTCTTTCAGTAATACAAATAAAATAAAAACAAAAACCACGACGTTTCAATCGCAACACAAGCGGTCGTCATAAGGAAAAGGGGGGTTAGCCTCTAAAGGCAAACTGTTTATAAAGGTTTAGAGATGGGCGTAGCCCAAGTGTGTCAGCAGCATGGGCGGGGCAGCTAATGTTAATGTAGGAGAAAACAACGACACCAGCAGTAGGTCTACAACAATCAAAGGGCCGCCAGGCAATTATTGCACCCTCGCTCCACACACCCACACTACTGACGGTGGAGGTTGACAAGAAAACACAAATCAAGTCATGACCCAAGTGGTTGATGACATCTTTCCAATGATTGCTGAGCTTATAATCATTCCCTCGGTTGAAATTGTGTCTGTGTCTGTATATATGGATGGCTTCATGAACGAATATTTGTTGATAGCCAGTAGGCTTGCAAAGTACCATCATCTTAGAGAAATCAACTTGGTGTGAGCCAGCCGCATTAAAAGAATGATCAGCCATGGCAGAAGTATTGGTCCTACCGTGTTTCAAAATCTGCCTTATGCTCATGAACACGGTCCGAGACATGTCGCTTAGTTTCCCCAATGTAACTGCTGCCACAGATACAGCTTAATTTGTAGACGCCAGGATATTGCATGTCAGGAATCTTGTCCTTCACAGATGGGATCAGATCACGAATTTTATGTACTGTGTTAAATCGAACCTGGATCTTGTGTTCATGATTTTGGAAATCTTTTTGGCTACCCCTGCCATCAAAACCATCGCCTTGCCATACATAGCAGGGGTAACCAAAAATGTTTTCTTTTTTTTTATTCACTTTATTTTTTCTTATTTTTCTATCGACGTGATTTTACCGAATGAACCGAGGAATATGTCAGGTATGAGGTTTAACCTCTAGATCTCTAATGTCACGTCAGAGGTTTTACCTCTAGATATTTTGTGTTTGGTCAAAGGTTTTACCTCAAAATTTACCAGAGGGTTTACCTCTAGAGTCAGGTCAGAGGTTTAGCCTCTAAATCTGTAATGTCAGGTCAGAAGTTTAACATCTTGAGCTCCAATGGCTGGTCAGAGGTTTTACCTCTATATCTCAAAAGCCAGGTCAGAGGTTTTACCCATCAATCTCTGCTTTTTATTATTACACGCTTTTATTTAACTCACTCTGTTGTTGTTGTCGTATCCTCTAATCTTGTAACTCAATTTTAACCCACTTCCCAATATGGTATCGACTGCAAACTTGGTATACTTATGTCATACGGATGACAATACTATATTCTATCTTAGTTTGTATTTTTTTTTAAACCATCTTTTTTATATGTTATGTTTCGACTTGGGTCTAATTGTCCACGCTCAATTGACGTTGACTGTAAATCACCACGGCCCCTACGTTATGGCCAGTTTCGGGGTCACTTCTTGGAGTCGTGGAGTTTTGCCATTACGAGTACGGTAAATTTCATTAAAGCATGTTTTAAAAAAAGTATTTTTCAAATATTACTTATTTGTGTTTAGTTTGTTGTCCGCCCCTCCCCCGCACCTCAGATTATCCACGGTTGGCTACATACGGTGGTGCGAAAGGAGTTCATTTTGTACCACATGCGAGTACCCGCGCTTTAGTGAATTTCGCGTGCGGCGGTCAGTGCCCGTGCCAGGAGCGAGTCCCCCCCCACCCGTTGTCTGGCGCGAGTACCTGTGGCCGTGGGTGCCCCGAGACGACGCAGGTGAGCTGCAGGGAGTGCCCCTCTCTGATGACGTAGGCGTACTCGCTGAAGCCGTCGTCACGAAGGAGGCAAGCGTGGCCCCCCGCGAGGATCCGCGCGCTGGGGGGGGCTGCACGCGCGCGCGCGCACCGACGTCGAGACCTGCTCATCCTCCGTTCCCCTCCCCCACTCCCCCAAGTCAGCTCTCTTGATAAAACGATCGTCTAAGCAAATCCAGTCCCAATTAATCTTAACACACACACGGCGGCAGAGTTCGCCAAGGGGCATCTTGGTGAGAGCGGAGCAAAATCTCTGGGCTACTTTAACTCTTCACATGTGCAAATATTATTACATCACTTCCTACTCCCCATCCACCAGAATGACAACCGCCTTATGCGCATTTCTCGGTCGCAGGAGACTTTTGATTGAATACCTTTCAATAAACTGGAGACGACACTCACCGAACACCAAATACCACTCACCAGACTCAACTCACTAGACACCAAGTACTTACCTGCCAACATACACGACTCTTAAGACATTCACGTGAACATCACCACTCACCAAACATTTGCCAGAATCTACTCACCTGACATTGGATTGCAGCCACTCAGCAGATATTAGCCAGAATCCACTCACCATAAATTGACCAAAATCGACTCATCAGACACTGGTCATAATCCACGCACCACTCACCAGCAATTGGCTTAAATCCACTCAACAGACATTGTCCAGAATCCACTCACCACTCACCGGACATTGTCCACTCACCACATATTGGCCAGAATCCACTCACCACTCACCAGACATTTTATGCAATATTTTTGCTGTCTTTTCTTGGATTTTCTGTTTGCACTTAGTCACATATTCACTTTAAGATGTTTTTTTGTTCATGTTTTTTGTTTGTTGCGGTTGCACCCGATTCAAGAGCTGAATGGCTCACAGGGCTATACCTAATAAATGAACTTGAACTTGAACCAGACATTGTCCAGAATCCACTCACCACTCACCAGACATTGTCCATTGTCCACTCACCAGACATTGGCTAGAATCCACGTACCACTTACCAGACATTTTTCAGAATCAACTCACCAGATATTGGCCAGAATCCACTCACCACTCACCAGACATTGTTCAGAATCCCCTCACCACTCACCAGACATTGTCCAGAATCCACTCACCACTCACCAGACATTGTTCAGAATCTCCTCACCACTCACCAGACATTGTCCAGAATCCACTCACCACTCACCAGACATTGTCCATTGTCCACTCACCAGACATTGGCTAGAATCCACGTACCACTTACCAGACATTGTTCAGAATCAACTCACCACTCACCAGACATTGTTCAGAGTCCACTCACCGTACACGCCTTGGGACGAGCCGGGTTTGCTTCCCGTCAGTCCGAGCAGCAGCGGCAGCAGTGCGAGTGGCGCCATCAAAGCGCGGCTCGCGATGCCGCGCGGCTCAACGCGCGCGGGGGCGGCTCGAAGAGCGAGGAGGCCGGCTACGTGAAACAGCTGCGAGAAGACTGAATAGCGGTGGGGGGGGGGGGGTGCAGAGGAACCCCCCCTCACTTACAGCTTCCTCGGGCCGCCACCGTCGTGCCCCCACCTCGTACCCCTTCCTCGTTCTCCCTCCTTGCCCCGTTCCTCAGTGCAGCACCCCTCCCCCCACGCCTCTCGTGTCCTGTGGCCCCACTCTCTGGCCCGGGACCTGCGCACTCCGCGCACCGAGTCCACAGTGGCGCGCGCCTCGATGTGCGCCGCTCGCCGCTCCGTCTCCACACCGCTCCCCAAAACCACGCCTCTCACCCCTTATCCCTCTCCTCTCGCCCGTTCTCTTCCCCCCCCCCTTCCCTATCTCCCTCCCCGTTCACTCTCTCCGCATCTCCACCGTTTCTCCGCCTGTCCCTTTCGTGTCGGCGTGTAACGCTGCCGCCGCCGGCACTGCTACTGCGGCGTTGATCTCCGCGTGTTCATCTCGGCTGCGTTTTGCGGCTTGCCGGGATTTGCGTTGATTGAGCCCCGAGTGGAGCCAGCCAGACCCAGTGGGGTCTATCAGCAACTACCATGTAGCCTTCGTTAGGGATATGTCAACTAGCTCCCCCAAAGACTTTGAATGATAAAAACAAATGTTTAGCTCGTTGGTACTGCCTTGTTTGTAGTGTCCGTCTCTTACGCTTGGTCTAGTTTCGGCTATACGCTTAACTGTTACATGCGCATATAAGTAAGTGATGGATTTCTGCACGCACAACATGGGACTCGATTGTAATGTCTCGTGTATTGCCTTGCGAGCGTCATTATTCGGCCGAGCTCACCGTGTAACAGCGTGAAATGAAAACCGTGACACGTGCAAACAAGGTAAACATTGAAACTACATTATGCAAATCGATAAAATAATCAGAGATGGGGACTGTCAGCGAACGTGGGTCTATTAGGGGCGATGGTGATCCCCGGGGATCTGTGCGAATGTAGACCATATCGCTCGGTAAGGGGAGACTCGAGGCAGGATGAGTGTTGTTTGTCCCAGATGCGCCAAAACAGACTTCATCTCATCGTCCACCTCCAATTCCCCACAGTAGCAACCTTTATTGCCATCTTTTTTTCTCACACACACACGGCATTGTGCAATAACCGTATGGGCAACACATATGGGCCACAATTGTATTTATAGGGCTGCGCCCTCGCCTATAAACATCTGGCAGATCGGTATAATTGGTACAAGATAGCCTGACTACTGACGAGACACACCGAATGTCAACACGGGCTCTAGAGTTTGCCTGTATAAAGCAATGCTGTGGAATCACTCCGAGAAGGTAATGTTGGCGATGAGATGTGTAACAGAAAAACATGTTTTATGAACGTGGACATACAGATATGGGAAGGAGGCGTTACCGCCAGCTTATTTCATGTGTAAAATATGACTGCGGCGTGTGCACTGTTGGGGCATAGCCACTCGGCGTCGCCGCTCGAGGCAGGAGTAAACACGTCCGAGTGATGATGAACTCCGGAAATCCGCTCGAAACGTCGTGGCTGAGAATGGAGTGTGGGAGTCGAACGGGGAGACACCGCAGTGTCTGCGCGAAGCTCCTACGACTGGGGGCAATGCGGTGAATGGGCTTGAACTACCCAATGGTCCACGTGTGCGCCCGTACTGTGCAGCCCTTTGTGAATCCACTGCTGGTCGAGGGTCTCGCCGTACCGTGCGGGTTATTTTGTCCACACTAAATGCCCGTTCACTGGCCGGGCGATGCAGTCGAGCAGCGTGTATAGTACGTGGTGCACTATGTAATACAGTACAACAATAGATACGGCTGCACTGCCCTCTGCTGACAGCAGCAGCACCTATAGCATCCGTTACTCGCGCGGTTCTCGGCCATCCAAGCACATTTTTCAGGCTCAAACCTTACTTATAACTCGAGTCGATTGTATGTGATTGATTTTGTATGCGAAATGAAAAGTGATGTGTTCCTGGTGTGTATATTCATGCGGGACGCTCGCATTGAATTCCTCGTATTTTTATCAAATTGGGTTATTCGCCACATAATCTCACAGTTTAACCTGCACGCGTGCCTTTGCTAGGTAATGCAAGTGCAGACAAGTAAATATCACCCAAGTCTTACATAAAGCGTGATCTGGATTGTGTTTGTGCGACAGGGGTATGGCATGCATGCACGCCTCTGTCCGGCTTCGTCTGTTTTCATTAACCACGTGTTTGTACGTGATTTATCCCTCTCTGCGTGTATGCCAAACCCCGCCTCTGTGTATCTGCTTAACTCCGTCTCTGTGTGTCTCTTTAACCCTGCCTCTGTTTAACCCCGTCTCTATGTCTGTTTAACCCCAACTCTGTGTCTGTTTAACCCCGCCTGTGTGTCTCGGTTTAACCCCGTATCTGTGTTTCTATTTAACCCCATCTCTGTGTATCTCTTTAACCCCGCCCGTCTCTGTGTGTCGGTTTAACCCCGTCCGTCTGTGTGTGTCAGGTTAACATCCGTGAAGCATTTGGTAACGCTGTTCGCATTTTCTGCGTGCGTGTAGGATGGGAACGGCTCAACACATTTCCGAGTCTCTATCCAAAGGAAAGACAGCTGCTGCTGCTTCTGCTGTTGCCGCATGCCATTACCCTCAACCCTATTGAATCGAGTCGATATCCCACCACCCTCACAGCGAGACCTGCGGACAGCACCAGTGAATGGGGAGACCGCCTGCCGGCACGAGCACGCGGGGCTCTGCGACCACGTGCCTCATCCCGTCCGCCGCCAGTGTTCCTTGGCCCCGGTCCCAACATTGAATGCGGTAGACAGACGGACTCTGCTGGAAGTCGCTCGTGCTCTAGCAAAGGGCCACGGTGGTGTTTCACTCGACAGCAGTGGCCTCCCCCCATCCCTAGCCTGCCTCCCCCCCTCCATTCCTCCAACACGGCGCCTGTCTCTGCGCGCCCCCCACCCATCAGCCCCGACTGAACCGACTCCTACCACCACAACCTCACGGAGATCACGCAGGCGGCACCGTGAGCCGCCCCCAGCAGAACTCGGTGGTGATGGCCCCAGAGTGGACGGGCTGGATGGAAAGGACGAGGAGGGGGGAGGGATCGATGATTTAGGGCTCGGGACCCAGCAGGACGCCTGAGTGGGTACGCGATGGATGAAGGCGGCCTGCTGCCCAGATGACGCGAGCACAGGCGCCGCGAGTCCGCCTGGGTTGGAGGACCCCATTCACGTCTTTTTTCGTACGGTGAATGAAGAGCAACTGTTGGAGATTCAGTTGAAAGTGAATGAGCCACGCGGTTTCTTTGTCTGAGACTTGGTGAATTGTACATGTACAGACGAAGATGCAGAGTTTAGCCTCAATAGACTGTTTGGCAACAAGCGGTTTTTGCGAGCACCCACGAAGGCTGGCACAGCACACGAGGGGGTGGATGGCCAGCACCACGCCCGGGCCACCTTTATATCTCTCGTGGCAATGTTTACACATTGCATCAGGTACTCATTCGAGGCTGAGTCGACCTAGGGGATGCCCAGGGCCGGTTCAGATCATCTTCAATCGTGTTTGCCAGATACTCACCCACCCATCCACTCATCCATCCACCCACCCAATTACCTACCCACCCAATCACCTTCCTACCCACTCACAAACCCATCCACTCACACACTCACACACTTATTAACCTACTCACCCAACCACTCACCCACCCCCTCACCCAACCACTCACACACTCACCCACCCACACACTGCCTTCACATATGTATTTGGGGCAGTGTGTAGATCAATGGTCCGCAGTTTGGAGCGCGTCGCCACTGTCGTATACAGGAGTTTTATTTCTACTTTTGTGAACTGATTTACTGGGGGCCTCGACTCCCCCTGATGAGACTCGGCCGCGTGGGGTGGGAGCTTGGGATCGTCGTTAGAGGAGGTCGTTTGGAGGGGATGAAGCACGTGGCACATCGAGTCGCCTCTATTGAGTATTGTATCCAGTAGCCACGAGTTCGGCGACCAAGGGGAAGATAAGACCTAAGGCCAGATGGTAGGAGAACTATTAGGGCAGATTTTGGAGATCGCGTGTTGACTGTGCAGCAGCTGCGGGATCTGGCCGAGGGGAGGTGTTGGAAATGAGGTGTTGTGGTGGTGGTGGCATCAACCGCCTATGCCATGGTGATGACGTCTCGATCTTGAACTCTTGAATGGCGAAAGCTCGGCGTTGACTCCGGATTTGTTGACGAAATCCCGAGGAGACATCGTCACGGAATGAGGACGCGTGCGCGATGGGGATTCGTAGGAGACGTGGTCGTGGTGGTAGTCGCTGAGGCTTAGACTGAGAAGGCCCCTTTCAGGTTTACGATGTCTCCCTGCTACGGTGTAGCGCGTACGGCGGAGTGAGCCGTCATGTCAGTCGGGGTCGACCCAGACCATCATCTTTACGAAGGAATAAAACCAATTTTTTTTAACTGTATTTTTATTCCCAACTCCTGGACATCACCACACAAAGAAGAGCACCGTTCACACACCGCGTGGCCATCACGCGGACTCCTTCGCGAGAACCCCGGTGGTCTTCCTCGCAGCAGCAGCGGCGGCTTTTGGCTCGCCATCGGACAAAGACGGGCACCGCATCACGCGCTTTCGGATGCGCTTCTGCGACCGTCTGGAACGCTCTTCCTTCCGATATTAGGAAGCCACTGGAGCTATGCACTTTTAAATCCAGAATGAAAACCCATTTCTTTAAAACTGATTTTTGTCTTCAGTTTGTTGTTCTTCCCCCCGCACCTCGGATTAGCACGGTTGGCTACATACGGTGCGATATAAGTTCAGCATACATGCACATACATTCCAAGGTGCACCTTCGGTATCATCAATACCGTCATAGCACTTGCTCTATTTAGTTTTTGAGGAGAGTGAAGAGTCGCATTCCACGTTCCTCTGGCGGGTACAAGTCAAGCGATGGGACAACATGCTGGTACGCGAGGGCGAGCAGCTTTGTCCGGCAAGAGCGCTCCGTGTGGAAGGATGCGGGTTGGGGTGGGGAGGGGGGAGCGGCGAGGATTCGCGGCTCAGGGGCGCCGCGCTGCCATCACTTCCCCTCCGATGGAGAATAATGGAAATGAG